TGCCACCTACTGGCAGTTTTAATTTCACATTTAAGGTACCTTTTCATTTTTTATATAATTTCATACTTCAGTTTTCAATGTTTTGTTTCAAATATCAAAACATTATTTATGCATTTGTAACTGCAGGTTAGAGTCATATGGTATTAATTTTATTTGTGCAGGTCTTAAAAAGGTCTTAAATTTGAGCTTAAAAATCCTGCAGAAACCCTGAACTAATAAATCATAAGTTACATTGTACTGCAATAGTCGGCTTACTCATCATAATGCTATAATTTCAGGAGATCAGGTTTTCACATAAAGATAGGTTTTTGTTCATACATGTTTAAATTAATATGTGTGAATACTGTTAAATTGTAGTTTAGTTTTAATTTCGGTAAACTAAAACACGATGACATTTTAAGAGTAAAATTTAATAAAATTAATAAACCTGACATGACGAAATATTTCCTAAATTTGAAGGAGATTTTTGTCAAAAGACAAAAACTATGACTAAAAATGATGTGAGATTTACCACTAAGGCCTGAGAGCCTAGGTTAAAGGGGTCATATGATGCGATTTCAATTTTTCCTTTCTCTTTGGAGTGTTACAAGCTTTTGGTGCATAAAGAAGATCTGTAAAGTTGCAAAGACTAAAGTCTCAAATCCAAAGAGATATTCTTTATAAAAGTTAAGAGTCAGTCACACCTACCTAAAACGGCTCGTTCTAACACACCCCCACATACCTACGTCACGATCTGGGAAAATTTGCATAACGCCGCCCAAATGTTCACGCAAAGAAAAAAGGCGTAACTTTTATTCTCGCTGTAGTATTATTGTTGTTGCCACCGCCACGTCGTGAAGGCACTGTGTAATTCGTTGTAAAAGCGAAACTACTTTGTTTGGTCTTCCAAAAGAGGACGATATCCGCTTCGTCATGCCTAGAGCTGATCCGTCCTGGTCGCTGAGGAAATACATCAACTTAGTGCTGTGGATCACCGGATCTGCTTTCACCGTGGACGAAGCGGAGCCGTTCCAGAACAGTTCAACCCAAATATTAAGATGTGTGCAGCGCATTTTATGGAGGACTGTTTCCTGATCCTGGTAGAGTAGACTACAATGCCGGCTGTTCTGACTCACAGACTGTAAGTACTTTTCATTTAAAGAATTTGCCACTGATGATTAAAACGCTAGTTTTGAGCAGTGTAGAGTAGCGCTTGTTGTTTGTCATTTCTCCGATCACAAATGCAGACATGGTTTTATGTTTACGGGGCGCGATGCAACGCACCGCGTAAAAAGACAGTATAAGTCATTATAATCCGTAATTATGTCCCCACTGGATGCAACAAATGCCTCGTTTGTAATGGGTTTTAATGTTTATGTCTCGTCGCTCCGGCCGGACACGGCATCAACAGTATGGTGAGGGGCGTAACATTTCCGTCTCACGCTTGAGGTATTCGGCCAATCACAACGCACTGGATAGCTGGCCAATCAGAGCACACCTCGCTTTTCAGACCGATGAGCTTTGTAAAAATCGACGCGTTTCAGAATAATGTTCTTTTTAGCAACATCATATGACCCCTTTAAAACTTTTGATTTTATATTTGAATAAACTTTAGATAAAAATAAATACACTTTGTTTATAGACAGGTTTGTTCTTTGTAATAAAAAATATATATAACATGGTGCTGTTTGCTTTGTATTTATTGGTTGCGCCCTCTTCTGGACATTTGAATATAATTGTCAAATATAATTTGAATTTTGGAAATATAAGTTAAAAGAAAAGGGAGATTGCAGTTTTTTTTTTTTTTTTTGACAGCCCTACACCCCTTTTAGTTGATCTCATTCATTTTAATCTTATTTTTATTTATCTTATTTTTTTATATTGATTATTTTTGTTTTTCAGTTGAATATTTAAAGTTCAAGGAAATCCACTGTTAAAAAGACAAAGTTAAAAAAAAAAGTTTAATAAATGCATGTTTCCAAAGTCAGTAAGTAATCTTGTTAAATAATCATGATCTCAGTACTGAACAAAATAAATATGATTATACTTTTTGCCATAATCGAGCAGACATACCCAACAAGTGGCGTTTGCTTACTTGCATACTTGGGTTTTCACTGCACACAGTGTTCATCCCTGTAACATGCAGCATGATTTGTAGCATATAGGATGAACTAAGTCATGCTCTACTTGAAAAAGTGACTGAAAAAAAAAAAGATATTCTCTGCAGCTCCTTTCTCCCAGAAAATAGGTCAGCATAAGCTTTAAAGGGATAGTCTACCCAAAAATAAAAAATCTGTCTTTTATGTTGCAGCAGGAAAAAAAAAGCCATACAAATTTGGAAAGACATTTGTGTTAGTAAATGATGACAGAATTTTCTTTTCTTTTTTTGGGTGCACTATTCCTTTAAACTTTACTTCTGTTGCAATCAAATACAATTTTAAATATACCAAAAGATGCAAATCCATCCTCTCAATCTCGGATCTTGTAAGAAGTGTTTGGGTATGTCTTCAGTTTCACATCTTCAGTCAATACTCTGCATGTTAAAAATTAGCTCACCTGTGTTTATCCCTCTCTCATCATAACCCCTCAGCGGTCAGTGTCTGAGTAACTCTATCAGGATCTGCAACATGTCAATAATTGAGACACATAATCACATTTAGATTCAGATATCATGAACAGTAATGAGTCAAGTTTCTCAATAGCTTTCACCCAAATTAATACTATAATATGTACACTCTTACAAACAAAGGTGCTTATGGCATCGCTGTGAAGAACCTTTAAAGCACCTTTATTTTTAAGAGTTTATCAGGGGTTTCCAACCCTGGAGAGGTATCGTCCTGCAGATTTCAGCTCCAACCCCAATCAAACACACCTGAAACAACTAATTAAGGTGTTCAGGGCTACTTGATAGTTACAGACAGTGTGACACCATCCTGGTTATAAATCAAGAAATTTCATAGAAAATGAAAAAGATTTAAAGCCAGCTATACTTACATGTTTCATCGTTCTCTCTTTGCCTTGACACAGTCATTTACGCACTCTGTTTATGTCAGATATCCTGCTGGTGGCCTTTGAGAGAGAAAAGACAATAAGAGATGGAGAGAGAGGCTGCTGGGCTGGTGTCAGCAGTGCCGGGGCCAGCAGGGAGAAGAGAGGTCATCCCTCTGGAAGAATGTGTCCTCTCATTCAGACAACAAAGACTGCAATTGTGGATGCTGATGGGAGATGGCAGCGGAGACAAATGGCACTCATCAACAACGTCACCAACTGAAATTCTCAAAACATGAGCAATACAATAATATTACCTAAGAATGAGGCTTTGTTTTATCCATTAGGGTTCTAAGACTGTTCTGAGATGCTGTGAAGTGTGGGTTTTCCTCCACACAATGTCTGTCCTGTTTAATTCTCACCAATCAGATCATCCCACATGAGTAAAGCTGCAATCGTCTGTCTCAATCACTGTGGAGAGGCTGAGTTTAAAAGACGACACAGCAATGAGACAGCAAAATCAGATTGAACTGAAGTTAAATCAGACAGAGATGGAAATCGGACAGTGAAATCAAACTGAAGTGGATATCAGAGAGTGAAATCAGACTCGGTTTGATATCAGACAGTAAGGTCAAACTGAGCTGGAAATCAGACATTAGAATCAGACCGAGATTGCGATCAGAATTAGGTGCAAACAAGAGAGTGAAATCAGACTGAAGTGATATCAAACAGTGAAGTCAAACTGAGGTGGAAATCAGACAATGAAATCAAACTGTGATGGATATTAAGGTGTGAAGGCAGACTGTCGGTAAGTAAAATCAGACTTAAGTTGGTTATGAGACAATGTAATCAGAGAGGGTTGGTATGAGATAGGAATAAGATCAAATTGAGCTGGAAATCAGACATTATAATTAGACCAAGGTTGAGATGAGATGGTGAAATCAGACTGTAGGCTTTGAACTTAAATAGCTGGATATCAGAAAGCAGAGTCAGACTGGGGTGTAGATCAGAGTGAGATATCAGACCGAGGGGAAGACAAGACACTGAAATCAGAGTCTGGTTGAGATGAGATAGTGAAATTAGACTCAGGTGGGGATCACAAATCAGATTTAGGTGGGGATGACACGAAATCAGACAAATCAGACTCAGGTTGACATCAGACAGTAAGGTCAAACTGAGCTGGAAATCAGAGAATAAAATCAGACCGAGGTGGAGATCAAATGATGAAATCAGACTGTTGACAGTGAACTTATATAGCTGGATATCAGAAAGCAGAGTCAGACTGGGGTGTAGATCAGAGTTAGATATCAGATCAAGGTGAAGACAAGACACTGAAATTCAAGTCCGGTGGAGATGAGACAGTGAAATCAGACTTGGGTGGAAATAAGGGAGTGAAATCAGACTGAGGTGGATATCACACTGCAAAATCCAGACTGAGATGGAAATTAGAAAGTGAAATCAAATTGGGCTGGGAATTAGACATTGAAATCAGACTGAGAGGAAGATCGAATGGTGAAACCAGACTGGGGTGTAGATCAGAGTGAGATTTTAGAATGAGGTGGAAGTCAGATATTGAAATCAAACTAAAATGGAGATAAAACAGTGAAATCAGACCACTGTGTAACTGAGGTGAAAACAGACAGTCAGAAAGTAAAATCAGAGTGAGGTGGATATCAGACAATGGAATCAGACATATGTGGAGATCAGACTGAGGAATTTAGAGAGGTTGATAGACTCAGGCTGATATCAGAGAGTAAAGTCAAACTGGGCTGGAAATCAGACATTGATATCATACTGATGTGGAGATAAGACTGTCATTAAATCAGACTGTCAGACAATTAAATTATAAAGCTAGATATCAAAAAGTGAAAGCAGACTGGGGTGTAGATCACAGCGAGATATCAGACTGAGGTGGAAATCAGACATTTAAATCAAACTGAAATGGATATAAAACAGCGAAATCAGACCAAGGTGTAAATCAGACTGAAGTGTAAACCAGTGCGTGAAATCAGATTAAATCAGGTTAAAATCAATGAAAGTAGACAAGAGATGGAAAGCAGACTGTGAGATTTTACTTTTTAACTTGCACTTTTCAGATTTGAGTCCCATTTAAATAACAAATAAAAAATATTTGTGAACTATTGTTTACAATGATACACGTACAGATAGTACCAGTTCCTGAATATTAACTCTACAATCTGAAATTATGCATAATGACTGTTGCTATGGCAACAGGGGGAACAAATCTGGCAGTAGATCGCTGGTACGAACGACAGACGGTTCTTACTGACACTGCCCCTCTCTTCTGTTCTCCCTCTCTCTATCATACTGATGTGTATTGTTTCAATGTGAGATTTTCTTCCTACTCCAATCTGCTTCAAAAATGTGCAAATACCAAAGCTGAAAATTCCCTGACAAATCACACAAAGAACAGTAGACCAGTTTTAGTGGCTTTTAGTTTTTAGAGAGCTCATTTTAAGTGGCATCTGCCTCTAAATCATTTAATCAGGTCATTAAAAGCTGTTAATGCAATCTTTACTTCACGGGACAGTGCTGTGAGCTCCTGAGGTGATTTGTCTGATAGCCACTTTATTGATTTCCATGCACATGACACAGTTCAGTTAAAAAAAAAACTCTAACTGTACTAATTGAAGCCTTCAGCCTGCAGCACCAGAGCGGAGCAGACAGATAACACTGCACGGTCACGTCCACGTGCTGCAGTGATCACAGTTTCTGAGCTGTAAAGACTAAACCCAGAAAAGAAACACAGAGCGACATATCAAAACAGCCTTGATAAAATCCTTAGCACAGCACTTCCATGTGACTGGGTCTGTAATTCTGTAATTGTTTTAGAAATAATTTTTCAATAGCAGGAGTCAGAGCATGAATTAATAATAATTCAGTCTATTGATTGCAGGAGAAGAGATTATCTTACCTCAGTGCCTGTCAAGTGTACCGAGTGCCGCTCTGTACAGATTCTTCACTCGTTTTTTTCCCGTCTCTTGCTCCTGCAAATGCTTTTTGAGAATACAAAAGAACTAAATTGAAAGACACCTTCTAATCTAATATTTTGTTTTTACAAAACAAAGAAAACAAGACTCTAACACAACCTCATCTGAATAGGAGTAAAGCATCATGTGCTGCTTCTCTCTGTCTGTCTGTCTCACTCACTTACACACACATGCACAAACACACATAACGAGTCGAACCATGGAGAAGTCGCTTTCTGAACATTTCCCTGGGTAGACAGAGCCATTATAGAGACATTAGGCATTATATTGTCACTTCAACTGCAATTTTTCTACTAAGTGTTTCCTATGACATTTAGCTGTAAAAATCTAAACAGCATGTCAGAACGCTAGTGAACTTTGTGGTGTGTTTTAAATGTGAGGGTAATTTAACAACCTCTTAGACATTATTGCTGAAATTTTGAGACAGTTTGATTTTTTTTCAGGGTATATGTTTATTTTCAGCGTTGGGAAGTGATTATATGTAATCTGGATTACGTAATCAGATTAAAGTCATTAAAGTCATAACAATAACTATATATTACAGGTGTTAATGTGAGTATGTCTGTCTAGCTGTCTAGGGATGGTTTCAGTTTCTCACCCAAATGTGCTCAGCACAGTATGTGTGAAGCAGAAGTACATCTAGTTAAGAGATAAAGAGATATTAATAATGGCCACTTTGAATCATTTATGATTGAGTTTCACTCTAAAATATGCTGAGGCTGTTTTATAAGGGGACAGAAACCTAATAGCAAGCTTGTTAAAGATAAGAGCAAAAGCATTTATCTAAAGCAACTTAAACCTCTTAACTCATCCTTGATGGCCTGAATAATTTGAGAAGTGGTATTCATCAAGGAAATCAGTCCATAGTGACCTCTACTTGCAAACTGGTCACACCTATTCCTGGTATTATAGCTTCAGAGTCCAGAGTCTTGTGATTTGCCAATCGCCACCACATATTAGTTGTATATCTATGTGGGGGTTCTGGATGCTCTAACCAGTTTTTTCTCTCCACTCCTTATCCTTGGTTTCACCCTAATCAGTCCTAACAGGGCAATAATCACTCTTAAGTTCCTGACTAATTTAATTAGGGAAATACATCTGTGTGGAGTATCACCATGTTTTGTCACTAAAAGAATGTCTTTTATAGGCTATCTCTCCAGTTTCTCTAACAATCCATGTTTGATACAGTAAATACTGTTGTTTGGCCCCTAGTGTAGGCACACAGCTAATCGGTCGGGTCTGTCAGCACTCTTGACTGTGTTAATGCTAAGTTCTGTCATGAAACTCTAGATGGCGCAAGCTGATGGGTCGTTAACGTGAACTGATGATATTCACAGCGTTAAACTACTTGGCACAACCTGATTGGTTCATGGTGCATACGCAGCCAATGAGCTTGCTGCTTTACATTTCTGAGAGCTGTCATGATAGGACTGTGATGACTGTGGCCAGCTCTAGATATTTCAGCTCTCCATCCTTCACCGGTCTTTAAAGGGTTACTCTACCCCAAAATGAAAATTTTGTCATTAATCACTTACCCCCACGTCGTTCCAAACCCGTAAAAGCTTCGTTCGTCTTAGGAACACAATTTAAAATATTTTGGATGAAAACCAGGAGGCTTGTGACTGTCCCATTGACTGCCGCACCACACGTATACGCTGTTTTTGTTCAAATCAAAATGTAAATAAACGTAGAAAACGTATCCGTGTGGTGCGGCTGACACGCAGCATACGCAGTTTGCGTTCAGTGGATACTCTCCAAAATGGTGTCGTTAAAGTCGTTATTTTTGTTTTCTTTGCATACAAAAAGTATTCTCGTCGCTTCGTAAAATTCAGATTGAGCCACTGATGGCAGATGGATTATTTTGACGATGTCTTTCATACTTTTCTGGGCCTTGACAGTGTTATTTACTTGGCAGTCAATGGGACAGTCACAAGTCTCCCGGTTTTCATCCAAAATATCTTAAATTGTGTTCCGAAGACGAACGAAGCTTTTACGAGTTTGGAACAACATGGGGGTAAGTGATTAATGACAAAATTTTCATTTTGGGGTGGAGTAACCCTTTATTAGTTCTGTTGTTCTTTCCATTATTCCACCGATTGAGGGTGGTATGGAATATTGAAGTGCCAATTTATAGCTAGAGCTTTAGCCAATCACTGTGATAGCTTTGAGGCAAACTGTGTTCCATTATCACTTTCAATCATATTTGGTATCCTAAATCTTGGAATAATTTCTTTATATAAAATTAACCATTGTTTTCACATCCTCCCTTGCACATGGGAAAGGTTCTGGCCACTTTGTAAATCTGTTGATAATCACTAACATATATTTAAAATTTTGAACAGGTGGCATGTGTGTTATGTTGTTGGAATGGGGCTTTAGGGAATGGTAAGTTTGAATGACGTATTGGTCAATGGAGTCCAAAACCAGTTTGGTTGTCTTGTGGACATCTGCTGTCGATTTTGGACGGGCTATTTTCTCTTCAGGGTCCCTAATAATTCCTTGTTTGTCTGGCTGACAATCTTTTGATGCCCAAAATTTCAAGTCAGCCTCTAATGGTTGATTCTGCAATATTAATGTCACTGTCTGGCAAATTGGCTATGTGTGTCATCATAGCGACTTCTGCATTTACAATTTTCTTTGTACATTGATTTTTAACAGTTTCTTTTGCAGCTGCATCAGCCAGTCGATTTCCCTTTTACTTCGTCTGAATCTCCTGTTGCATGCCCCTTCACACTGACTATGGCCACTTTCACAGGCAGCTGCACTGCCTCAACCAAGCTCCCCATTAGATCAGAATGAGCTATTGATTTCACATCGATACTAATTTTCAGTGGCCGCTGTTAATATTTTTTCAAAGCTCTCTGTCTCTTTATTTCTTAATTAGATGTACTTCATGTACTTCCTCTTTTCACACACACACACACACACACACACACACACACACACAGTGGTGAGCATATTTAGGTGAGAAACTGACTGCTAGACAGCTAGACAGACAAATACTCACTTAGAACATTTTATTTGTATCTTATAATTAGTAACTAGAACTTAGTAGCCTATATTTCGTTTTCATATAGGGTAATGTAACTTCTAAGCTAAATACTTTGATTGTATGTCCAGGACCTGGCTGGCATTGTTTTTATAAATATGAATCCTCTTCCTAAATAAAGCTGAGAATGCTTTGTGCAACAACTCTCTATGTCTGCTCATTCATTCTCCCAGGCCTGCCCTGAATACCGCTGGGGTTGCTGACAGAATAAATGACTAATAAAAATAACAAAATAAACTTCCAAAGAATTAATCTAACAAGCAGCTAGGGCACGTTTCACAATATCAACACTGTGGGGTAATGGGAACCTGCCATTGAATAACTAAATTTAGTTATAATAATTTTATTAATTATAAATTAAGATATCTAAATTATTTAGTATATACTTTTCAGCAGGAATGTAAACTGTGAAACAATTGTGTAACATAAGACAACGATTTGACTCAATATTAGAAATGGAACAGAAATTGAAAATAGTAAAGTGTACAAAAACAGCTTGCACCAATAAAAATGTGACAACATAAAAAAAAATTATGTAAATTTAAGATGGAAGGACAGAATTCACAAACCTTTAATCTACGATTTAAATTATTTAATCTATTTTGAACTAGATGGTCTCTGAATGTTGTTATAATTTTGTCTATTATTTGAAAGAGAATACTAAATATATTAGCATAACATAATATTAATTGCCCATATATTAATTATAATATCAAGACAAAACACGGCATAATGCATTCTAAGTGCGCCATCTAGTGGTTGTAGTGCAATGATGGGCCACATCTTTGATTCAGCACCATTGGACATGTAGGTCTTGTTTCTAAATTATTCGAAAAATTAATATAAACGTTCCAATCACACCTTAAAAGTAATGTTAAAGTAAACAGTGGGCATTGAAGGTGTACACATGCGCTCTCATTGTAAGAACTGATGAAACCGATGACTGGCATCGGTTTCATCAGTTCTTACAATGAGAGCGCATGTGTCCACCTTCAATGTGAAGCAAGCATGTTTAGGGTTATTTTTATCTGGTGTCTTGGCATTCTTGTAAGAGATGTTCCCTTGACACCTGCATCATGTTTCAAATTCATATCGCTTTTCAACTCCCCCCATACATGCACCATGGCCACTCAAGTAGCCCTTTAGCATTTAGACTTCACTAGGTCTGTGGAAAGTGTGGATAACCTTTCCATGAAATTTCCGTCTGGAGTGATTTGTTTTGAGTTTGAAAGTCTAAATAGTGCTGATGCTTTGCTTTTGCTCAGATGTATTTGGATGCAGGCCAGCTTCACAGCAAGTTACTTGCACAGAGACTAAAGTAAACTGACTCTGAGATGTTTTCCAGGTACATCAGTGAAGAGGTCTGTCGCCCATGCAACTTTAAGGAACCTGGAGAGGAGCTAAAAATACCATCCTTAGAAATCAGAAGTGAATTAGACCTTTGGATCAGTTTTTGAAAGTTTGTAAAGTTTCATCAGGAGAAAACTGTTTATCAGAACTGAAAGATTTTCATCCAGCACACTTTTTGGCCTTGATATTGCAGATTTTTTATTTATCTATTATTATTATAAAATTTTTTTTTTTACATATTTAGCTTGTATTTATTAATAATTTCACAACTGCAATCATGGGAGCAGCAGGCTATGGATATTACCGCACGGTTATATTCATCTCAATGTTTGTGGGCTACATGCTGTATTACTTCAACCGAAAGACTTTCTCCTTTCTGATGCCATCAGTGATGGAGGAGATTGATCTGGATAAAGAAGAACTTGGTGAGTGTTAGAGTGTTGTGTGTTCTACACATATAACAAAAGTTTGGAATCAGTCAGTTTTTTTTTATTATTATTAAAAAAGCAATTCATTTGAACTTTCTGTTCATCACAGAATCTTAAAAAATGTTTCACAGTTTTCACAAAAATATAAAAGCAGCACAACAGTTTTCTACATTGATAATAATAAGAAATGTTTCTTGAGCACCAAAACTGCATATTAGAATGATTTCTAAAGGATCATGTGACACTGAAGACTGGAGTAATGGCTGCTGAAAATCCAGCTATGCATCACAGGAATAAATTACATTTTAAAATATATTTAAATCGAAAACAGTTCACAATATAACTGTTTAACTGTATTTTTTTATCAAATAAATGAAATCTTGTGAAATGCAATGCAGTATTTATTTGGCTGCTGCATGATTCTTAGTAAACCATGTCAGATCTGCAAAGCATCCAGAGGATTTCAGCCTTGATTTTTCCTGTTTCCTGTGATGCAGGGCTGATCACCAGCAGCCAGACTCTGGCCTATGCTATCAGTAAGTTTATCAGCGGAGTGCTTTCAGACCAGATCAGCGCTCGCTGGCTCTTCTCCATCGGGCTCTTCATTGTGGGCGCCATAAACATCGCCTTTTCCTGGTCATGCACTGTCATGCTGTTTACCGTGCTTTGGTTCGTGAACGGGTTTGGTCAGGGTTTCGGCTGGACACCATATGGAAAGGTGCTTCGGAAGGTAAGGCTGACCCTTTACCTTTAAATCCATCAATATGCACCTGTCCTCCAGTGTTGGCAATGTGACAGGAATTCTAACAGTTGACCTCACAGCTCACGCTGATGGATTGTAGATGCAACAGCTGATGCCGGCCACATACTTGTGAAGTACAGCTGGGAGCATTACGATACACTTAAATCTAATTAAAGCAACCAGCTGTAGTTATCTGTGCCTGACCAACCTGGAAGCAGTTGTATTACATAAATTTCAGTGGATGATCAAATGCATAATGGTCATTAACAGGCATTGCTCTTGGATTTAAAGGCACAATATGCAAGATTTTTTTATTAAAATATCCAAAAACCACTAGAATAGTGTTATATATTTTGCTGACTTGTGTACTTACATTATCCCAAATATTTGGAAGAATGTTTAAATACAGAGAAATAAGCCATTTTAACTAGTGCCACGGACCGTGTCCATATAGTGTCATTGTGTCGCCTGCCAATGACGTCATAATGCCTCGATTTCCAGTTTTGTTTTGTAGAAAACATGGAAACACCAAAGACGTTTTAATATGTTGTGCGTTTTAATAGACCGGTGACGACCGCACAGAGTAGCATTATAACAGAACTTTCAAATGTATCTAGTATGATAAAACAGCGCTGCTTTTTCCCCCCCACATACTCACGACCTGAAGGAGCGGAAGCGGTCGACTGTGGCATAATAAATGCTCCGCTGCTTTCGAGCCGTGTGTCACGCTCATTCAGCGGCCTCGTTTCGCTTCGACCCTGCTTCATTCTTGTAAAAAAGCCCATGTTCAGTTAGTGTTTTTTATATTAAAAGGGCTGTACAGCGGTCAGATTGGTCATTTATTTTCGTTGAGTAGGCGTGGTTTATTCAGAGATTGCGCGAGAGCATCGGAAGTGAGATGGCTGAAGTTCATTTGTGACTCAGGAGTCACGTTCATTCGAGAATCAGGAGGTCCCGCTGTCGCATATGAAAGTCGGGAATTAATCCGAAATAAGATGTCGTCCTGCAGCGATTTCACGTTGTGAACTGTAGGGAGAATATTTGTGATCTTGATCGACGGCTGATGGTGCGTTCCCGTTAATAATCTCTCGCCGAAGTTTGCCTCGCAAGGATTTTGAATGTGCGTCATTGAAGACAGTGAGTGTTATTTTAACTGTTCATATTGTTTTCGTTGATATACTGCTGTTAAGTTATATTTTGTTTAATACTAAAGTATGATTGTTATTATGTGAAATATTGTGCTAATTGTGACAAGTACGATCGCCATTACGGAGCTGTCTGTGACTCAGCAATTTTCCTTTGAGCTGTTAGCATTAATTGCACATTTTGTACTTTGTTACAAATTAGTTTCATTTGTGTATTGTAGAACCACACTCAAGAATTATACACACCACACGAACAAGATCCGTTTGCAGTAACAAACATTCATAGACATTTTGTGGACCTTTGCATTTATTCTCATCGGATATTGTGCATCAGTGGACCCGAGACTACAGCTCAACGCCCAAGTTACGATATTTAGTCATAATTTTCGTTGACGAAAGCAACACTAGATACAACTGCCCGTTTCATTACTCTCTTGGTCACTGGACATCACTTGTAGTAACTGACACTCTAAGGTGATTTAGTACCGTAACAGCAACCAACGCATTCATACAGTCTCTAATACAATTCTACTACGTTAATAAATCATTAGCTCAGCCATGAACATGATTTCTGCCCGAGTCCTGTCGGATTGCATCGGCTGTGGGGATGAAGACGACAACTCCCATGATTCCACACTCAGTCACGGCGTCATCAAACTACGCCTTTGCCTATTTGTTTATTTTGAATACGTGCCCTCTAGTGGCGAAAATTACATATTGTGCTTTTAAGTTGACTTTAATGAACTAAATGTTATTTACCTGCATTTCAGATTGATTTAATAACCGTTTTTACACGTTATCCCGTATTGACATTGTGTTATTGGTTTTCCATGAAAAGATTTATTAAAATGTCCTTGTACTGGCCTTGTTTCAGTGGTTTGAACCGTCTCAGTTTGGGACATGGTGGGCCATCCTGTGCTGCAGTATGAACCTGGCAGGTAGTCTGGGACCCATCATCACTACAGTGTTGGTTCAGTACTATAATTGGAGAATCATCATGTCCATGTCTGGGGTGATCTGCATGACTGTCGCTGTCGGTTGCCTTCTGACGGTGAAGAACGAACCCAGTGATGTGGGGTTGCCCAATATTGAACCTGGTGCTAAAAAGGGCAAAGGAAAAAAAGGAGGTAAGAAAGCAGTATATCATCTAGTGCTTAGATCATCTAGTTGTTTTCTAATCTATGGCTGAAGAGAAACATATTTTTGAAAATTCAGCTTTGCCATCACAGTAATACATTACATTTTAGAATATATTTGAATACAAAGATGTTGTTTTAAATTGCCATAACATTTCACAATATTACTGCTTTTACTGTGTGCAGCCTTGGTAAGTATAAAAGATTTCTTTCAAAAACATTAAAAAGCTCCAAACTTTTGAATGATAGTGTATAATATATGCTTGTTGTTTTTATGTTTATGCTATTTGAATTATGTATGTTTGTTATTGGCTGCTGCTCATGTCAATCCACTCAGTCTTCACTCTTTTTCCAGGCCCTAATAATGAAAGCAGTCTAAAAGAGTTCCTGCTGTCTCCTTATCTTTGGGTGCTGTCTGCTGGCTATCTGGTTGTGTTTGGAGTAAAGATCGCCTGCACTGACTGGGGTCAGCTGTTCCTCATGCAGGAAAAAGGCCAGTCTGCTATGATGGGTGAGTCTGGTACTCTCTGTTTATCGTGAAGTTTTCTGTGTTGTTTATGGCCTATGTGAGGATGCTATCGTGCTTCTGTGTTTTCTACAGGCAGCTCATACATGAGTGCCCTGGAAGTTGGTGGGTTTTTTGGCAGCATTGGAGCTGGTTATCTGTCTGACAGGGCTGTGGCTAGGGTGGGTGCAATTTAAAGTAAAATGCATTAAAGAAATAGTTCACTCAAAAATAAAAATTTGCTAAAAATTCACTCACTCTCACGCCATCCAAGATGTAGATGAGTTTGTTTCTTCATGGGAACAGATTTGGAGAAATTTAGCATAACGTCACTTGCTCACCAATGGATCCTCTGCAGTGAATGGGTGCCGTCAGAATGAGAGTCCAAACAGCTGACTGAAACATCACAATAATCCACAAGTAACCCACACGACTCCAGTCCAGTCTTGTGAAGTGAAAAGCTGCATTTTGAAACAAACTCATCTACATCTTGGTTGGCCTGAGGGTGAGTTCCTTTTTTAGCAAATCTTCATACTTGCATATAGGTGAACTATTCATTTAATGTAGGATTCACAATCACCCTTAATTGCTATATTGGCGCATCTTCATTATGGGATAAATTTGCAATTTATGAATAGAGATCATGTGATCTGTTAGACAGTGACTTCCTTGTTTTACAGCAAAGGCTGGGTACCTATGGTAATCCTCGCCATGGGCTACTCCTGATGATGATGGCAGGCATGGCTGTGTCCATGTACCTCTTCCGTGTTACCATCACACAAGAGACGCCAGAGGTGATTTTTTTCCCTAAAAATTGTAAAATCTATACATGCATCAATTTTTGCTTAATTGTGTTGGTTGAATCATTATGTGTGGTTTCTCAGGAAGCACCACTATGGGTTTTGGCTCTCCATCCAGTTTCAGTCCTCACTGGTGTCTCAGAGAAAGAGGTATATCCAAAAATTCACCACAATGATATTTCAACTAATTAGCCATCCTCAGTGTCTTTTTTTTTGCTTTAATGGTGTCTAATACAACAATTTCTGTTCTGCAGCTTTGGATTTTGATTCTTGGTGCTGCATTTGGATTTTCCTCGTATGGACCAATTGCCTTGTTTGGGGTGATTGCGAGTGAAAGTGCCCCTTCCAATTTCTGTGGGACATCACATGCCATTGTAGCTCTGATGGCAAATGGTACATCTGCAGGAACTGTTTCATGAAAAAATGCATTAAGATAAAATACTCCATATAACTATAAATTCCTGATTGTTGTTTTCTTTCAGTTGGTGCATTCATTGCTGGCCTGCCATTCAGCACCATTGCCAAACGGTACAGCTGGGACACGGCATTCTGGGTAGCAGAGGTCGCCTGTGCTGTAACAACAGTTTGTTTCTTCTTTGTGCGTAACATGCGCACAAAAATGGGCCACGTGGCTAAAAAGATGGACTAATTCTCCTATTAAATATGATCATATCAGAGAGCCCAGTGAATGTGACAGCACTCAGTTAGGACATCTGTACTTAAAGGCACAGTCCACCCAAAAATTAAACATTCTGTGATTATTTACTCATCCTCATGTCTTTCTAAACATGTGGAACACAAAATAAGATATTTTGAAGATTTTGTAATAACCAAACCGTTTCGGTTTCTATTGTATGTTTTGTTTATTCTAGTTTGGAACGACATGAGGGTGAGTAAATGATAACAGATTTTAAATTTTTCTTTTGACTGTCCTTTTAAGGAACTGCTTTAATGTCAGTGTTACTGTTGTTCTTTTTTTTAAAAATAGATTTTTAACTTGCATTTAGATTTTTTTTTCTTAAGCTTATTCGTCAGCAATATCACAACATTCACACACTTCAGAGACTAAGTGTCTCTCCACTGTACATCTTTCAGAAGAACAGAATTTCTATTACTGTAAGAACAGAAATGTTTACACACTAGTATAGAACATTTTTACTTTCTTAGTAAATATTAACAATGAATTGTTTCACCTGAATTAGGGCTGTGCGATATTGAAGAAAAATGCGATATGCGATAACTCATTAAATAATGCGATATTCTATATGCGATACGATAAAGTGCCACATGCTCAGATGAAACAGTTTTACTCAGCTGTTGCGGAGTCAGTTCTGTAAACTTCTATAACTATCTTGTGTCATATATATATGGTTATTTGTATGCATGTATGTTAGTGAGTGATTTTCTCTTTGTCTTTTGTTCATGGCCCCAAATATTGCAAGCCATAGCGATATGTACATTTGCGATATTTCGATAATTTCGATATATTGCACAGCCCTAACCTGAATGTTGTTTAACTTATCACAAGCTTTTTGAGCTTGCAAATTTTTTGAGTAACAACTTTAGAACTTGAGTTATGTGCTGAATTGAGGATAATCTTTTTCCAGTCTATAGACTGTCTTACATAGACACACATTGTTCTTTAGCACTTTAAATACCTGTACTTTTGCCTTCAGTCTTAAAGCAGAAATTGTATTTATTTATTTTTTTTATACAGTATGTACCCAATTCATACTAATTTAATGCAAACAACAGTATCCTTTATAATGTATAAAGGTGTAAAAATGTAGTATAAAAGTTTATTGTAACTAAGTTGTTGCGTATGTGTCATTTTACATCATTTTAAACATTGGTCTTGATATTTTTTCCTGTCTTATTATTATTAGTTTATTTATTTATTATTATTTTTATTTTATTTATTTATTTATTTTGTATTATTTTAGTATAGTTTCACATGTGCTGTGAGCGAACTTGTTTTATATATTTAAGGTGTATTAAATTAAAAAGTACATTTACATTTAGTCATTTAGCAGACGCTTTTATCCAAAGCGACTTACAAATGAGGACAATGAGGACAATAAAAACTAGCAAAAGAGAAGTGCTAGAGTTAGAGGGTCAAATAAAGATGGAACAGATTTGTTTTTTAGTCGTTTCTTGAAGATGGTTAAGGACTCAGCTGCTCGGATTGATTTGGGCAGGTCATTCCACCAGGAGGGAACAGTTAGTGAAAAAGTCTGTGAAAGTGATTTTTTGCCTCTTTTAGATGGCACAATAATACGCCGTTCACTTGCAGAACGCAAGGTTCTAGAGGGCACATAACTCTGGAGTAATGAATTTAGGTAAATGGGTGCAGAGCTAGTGGTGGTTTTGTAGGCAAACATTATTGCCTTGAATTTTATGCGAGCAGCTATTGGTAGCCAGTGCAAATTGATGAACAGAGGTGTGACATGCGTTCTTTTCGGCTCATTAAAGATTAATCTTGCAGCGGCATTTTGGATTAATTGTAGAGGTTTGATAGAAGTGGCTGGAAGACCTGCCAAGAGAGCATTGCAATAGTCCAGCCTGGATAGAACAAGAGCTTGAACAAGTAAAGTAAAGTTACTAAAAATTATTAAAGTAAAGGTGAATTCATTTATACTGGGTCACTTTTTACCATTGAGACGAAAAATGGCACAATTATTGTGAATTAACTAATTAACTATGTATAGTCTTTTATGCTCAGCAAAGCTACTTTTATTTGATCATCCAGTACAACAGTAATATTGTAGTAATATTGTAAATGTAGTGTTATTACAATTTAAAATAAGTCTTCTTTTAAAATGTCATTTATTCCTGTGGTGGCAAAACTTACTTCAGCATTACTCCAGTCACCATAACTCAACACTGAACAAAAACTGTGTTTTGAGCAGTGAGTGGTGAGTGTTGCTCAAGGCTGCAAAAACAAGTTGAAAATAGAAACATTTGATGCTCTCCAGGGGTTGGTTGCATAAAAGGTGCAGACTAGTCTTACAAGTTAGTCATCTCATTTTTTTCTTGTCATATTTTTTTATGTTGGTTACATAAACAGATTAGTCTAAGTTGAATCCAAAAAAATAAAACTGATTACCCCTTTGCTAACTGCTAATTGGTCAGACTGAGGTTAAGTTTATGCAACTGGCCCCAGAGAGTGCAAACACATAAGCACTGGAGCGATTGTCATAAAATGATAGAAAAGAGTTAGCCAATATGCTTTTATTTTGCAGTTTCAACTGAGACTGCTCCTCCTGCTTACCTTTGAAGGTGCTTTGCTTAACACCCAGTAGAACTGGACCGGGACAAGTGTAAATACGCACTATATGTAGGCTACATTCCAGAAAATCACTTGCTCACAAACATACGTCACATTCTCATTCTTTATACAAATACTGCATAACCATGCCACGGCGGGCCAGACTCAAAAAACTAGCCCATAGAAACGTACCTTGAATTACTTATGTCTATTCTAAACAGTTGTAGTCGTCTGGGTTTTGAATTGAAGATGATGATGATAATTTCGTCGTAATCCAAATTTTCTGTTAGGTGGCTGTTTTATATACATTCAAGGGAGCTGCTAGTTGGAATCAAAGCAGACAGCTTTTGGCGCCAAAACGTAACATACTGCGTAACGTAACTGAAGATGCTAATGAAACAAATGACGACACATCACGATTAATGAAGAATTTAAACGTTGAAGTTGTATAATAAAAAAAACTGTATTTCCGTGGATCTGACTGGGTGGGAAAACTGTCAGGCCCACTCGCAGATCCGCCAATGCTTGTAACATTATACAATTCTTTACTAGCATTTTTAAAACGGGTAAATGTCACCGTTTTTTTATATTGAGAGGGAAGTAGTTTTTTTTATATATATATATAGAGGGAAGTAGTTCTCTAAAGTTTCCTCACGTTTCTAAATGAGAGCCGCACTCGCTCCAGTCCTGCAGGTGGCGACCGTGAACTACTGAGCGCAAAGACAGCACGCGAAGTGCACGCGGACAAAGCGGACGTGCGCGTGCGCCACTTCCTTTCTCTTCCGCAGCTCGCAACGCCTCAGCATGGTGAGTGCTCGAGCGACTCCGTGATGTTAGAAAATAGCACTTTTACCCACTTCTCACGTGTAATAGCCGCATTATAACAACACTGTCCTACGTTTTTAATCATGATGAATAATATAATGTAGCTGTAATGGGCCAATTCAGCGTTTGTATAATTATTTTGTATGAAGTGTTATCGCATGGTGCGCGAGGCCTGAACACGCGCACCGCATTACCACACATTTATTTATTACAACTCTTGACCATGTAATGATTAAAATACGCTTTTATTTATGCATGTGATTGAAATGAGTTTTCTGTAACTGTCTAGCCGCCCAAGGATACCAAGCAGAAGAAAGATGCGGGCAAGTCCAAAAAGGACAAGGATCCCGTTAACAAATCCGGAGGCAAAGCGAAGAAGAAGGTAAATATTAAGAGTTATAAGTATTTTACGTCACTTAAGAGACCTGTCAATCATCAACTGGTTTTATGCTGTAATTGCATGCATGGATTGTAATTTTCCATGTATTTGGTCTTGAGTAGAAGTGGTCCAAAGGAAAGGTGAGGGACAAGCTGAACAACCTGGTCCTCTTTGACAAGGCCACATATGACAAGCTGTACAAAGAAGTTCCCAACTACAAGCTCATCACACCCGCTGTGGTCTCTGAGAGGCTGAAGATCAGGGGCTCGCTGGCCAGGGCTGCCCTGCAGGAGCTGCTTAACAAAGGTGATCATCTGATGCTCTAACAGTGAATATGAGTGATTCTGAACTCTTCATGTTCATGTACTACCTGTACATCACATATGGCAGGGCTTCCAGAAACTTTTTTTTTTTTAGGTTAACTCATTCA